TATGGCTAAATTGAACTATCTCCAAATCTCAGCCATGGGTAACATGAAAGTGAGACAGGAAGACAGGAAGTTTGACCATGACGTGGATTTGCAGTGGGCCAGGTCTCTTCCTGGTTAATCATATGTTTCACTGCAAAAGGAGTTTAGATGAATCATTCATCTCTCTAGCTGTGAAGAGTTTTGAATGTGTTAGATGGCACCTGGACATCAAAAACATGGGCCTCAGCAGTGTACTTCTCTGGACAGGTCTCCCCAAGGGGCTAAAGCCTGTGTTGGGTCCTAGATCTGGAAGGTAACTGTCCTTCATTATGGCTTCCTCATAGGAAGGCAGCTTCTATCTTAACAATCTTACTGATAGCCAAGATCTTTGGTATTGAGATAGCTTCCATTTGTAAGAGAAAGTATATGAATTTACACTCTGATAGAGACCTGGGTTTGAATCCTCACTCTCACATGGAGGAGCTTTGTAATCTTGAATAACTTATTTTTAAGCCTTCATTGTTCATAGTAAAATGGGAGAAATCACTGAAATAGTGAAGAATTAACAGCTTTGGATTTTAATTACTGTGGGGTTACCTCAATTTGTCTAAAAATATGTTTGTACTCTTATTTTCTGGTTTACAAGCTTTAAAGATTATTTGTGCTCCTGTTTGGACAGAAAAAGTTTTAACTTAATAAATTACCATACCATTTCTGCTTCCCAAATAATTGCTTCTTTTTATTTTTTTAAAAGATTTTTTTTTAATTTATTTGAAACAGAGTTAGAGAGGGAGAAAGTAAAAGAGTGAAGTATTCCATATACCATAATTTTCTTTATCCAGTCTTCAGCTGATGGACATCTGGGTAGATTCCTTATCTTAGCTATTGTGAATTCAGCTGCAATAAACATGGATGTACATATCCCTCTTTCATATGCTAATTTCATTTCCTGTGGGTAAATTCCCAGGAGTAGGATGGCTAGGTCATACGGTAAGTCTACACTCAAATTTATAAGGTATCTCCATACTGTCTTCACAGTGGCTGTATCAGTTTACATTCCTACCAACAGTGGACTAGGGTACCTTTTTCTGTTGTTCATACCTTTTATGGTTAAGGCTGATCAAATCTGCTTTCTCTTCTAGAATCATAATTAAGCCGGCGCTGCGGCTCACTAGGCTAATCCTCCACCTTGCGGCGCCGGCACACCGGGTTCTAGTCCCAGTCGGGGCGCCGGATTCTGTCCCGGTTGCCCCTCTTCCAGGCCAGCTCTCTGCTATGGCCAGGGGGTGCAGTGGAGGATGGCCCAGGTGCTTGGGCCCTGCACCCCATGGGAGACCAGGAAAAAGCACCTGGATCCTGGCTCCTGCCATCGGATCAGCGCGGTGCGCCGGCTGCAGCGGCGGCCATTGGAGGGTGAACCAACGGCAAGGGAAGACCTTTCTCTCTCTGTCTCTCTCTCTCACTGTCCACTCTGCCTATCAAAAATAAAAAAAAAAAAAAGAATCATAATTAAAGGTTCTGAATTTAGGTGTTGTAGCATGGTGTGTAAAACCATAGCCTGGGATGCTGACATCCCATGTGGGCATTGGTTCATGTCCTGGCTCCTTTATTTCTGACCCAGCTCTCTGCTAATGGCCTGGGAAAAACAGCAAAAGATGGACCATGTGTTTGGTTCCTGTTACCTACATGGAAGACTCAGATCAAGCTCCTGTCTCCTGGCTTTACGCTGGCTCAGCCTTGGTCATTACAGCCAGCTGGGGGAGTGAACAAGCGAATGAAAGACTCTTTCTCTCTCTTTGTCTCTCCCTTTCTCTCTGTCATTCATTTTAAAATATATCTTTTAATATTAATGTTCAGATACTTTAAAATTGTCAATAAGTATAACTTATTTTTCCATACAATGTGTTGTATATCTAATGGATCTTTTTTAGTCTGAAGTCTCATTGGGACTAGAAAATTCTGTTCTATGTTTTCTTTTATGGTTTTTTCTATTTTTTCTTTCCTCTTCTGGAACATCTATTGTTGAATACTGGACACTATCTAAATCCCCTATATGTCTTGTTCTATCTTTTTTTCTATTTTCACATTTTTCTAATTTTCAGACATTTTATTGCCTTAATCTTCTAATTTAAAAATATTTTAAAATATTTTTAATTTTAGAATACTTTTAGATGTACAGAAAAATTATGAAAAATATTATAGAAAATACCTGTGTACTCTGGCATATTTTCCCTATTATTTGCAATGTTATGTTGGTATGTTACATTTGTCACAATTAGTAGGACAATAGTAATAGTATAACATTCTTATTAACTAAGGTCCATTTTTTAAAAAATATTTCCTTAGATTTTGCCCAATGTTCTAGGGTTCCCTCTAGAAAATCACTTTACATTTAGTAGCTCATCAGTCATGCACATCTATTATGATGTCAGTTTTGTTTCTGGAAACATTAAATAAAGGATACATTAACTGTTGCACAAAATATTTTTGAAATCCAGGTATAACTTTTTCATGATGCACATTTTCCATAAACATTTTGAAGACCCCTCATACTACAAACATGAGATCATTGTTGGTATTAACCTGGATCAGGTGGTTTTTCTCAGGTTTCTGCACTGTGTGATATTTTATCACCTTTCCATCCTATACTTTTTGGAAAAAAGTCATTATATGCAGCGCATATTTAGTTGGGGAGTTATTCTCCACCTCCTTGAGTACAGATTATATACATAAACTATTTGAAATTTTCTTATACGGGATATTTTTCTCTTTTCCCTTACTTATTATGTATTCAATTACTTATTTATAGCATTATGGACTTAGAGTATTTATTTTATACTTTGGCTTGTAATCAAATACTGCTTTATTAATTCTGTTGCTGAAATTGTTCCAGTTTTAGCCATTAGGCACTCCTTTAGTTGGCTTCTTGTCCCTTTTACATACTTCAAGCCTAATGTGTTTATTTATATATTCATTTATTTTTTAGCATTTTCTTACTTTCTGGCACTATAAAAGATACTAATCTTGTATGTTTCCTACCCTAGTCCTAGATTAAGACATTTCTCCCTAAAGGCTTGGCTCGTTTTCTTGGAAAATGATATTGGAAATCATGATCTAAAACTAAATGTGCCTGTTGCTTGTAGACCTTCTCAGCACTCAGAGAAAAAGTGTATGTGTATATACCAACTTGTATATATACATATATCTATAAATATTTGTATATGAAGCATCTGATCTAGATTAAGCTGAACACGTGTTCATACAGATGTCTCTAACTGTATTATATTCTACACAGCTTCTTCTAGCTGCCTCCCTTTCTTAACTCTTATTCCAACAGTGAGAATCCTGGTTCATAGCATTCTATATCCATTTTCTTTCTTTCTTTCTTTCTTTCTTTCTTTCTTTCTTTCTTTCTTTCTTTCTTTCTTTCTTTCTGACAGGCAGAGTGGACAGTGAGAGAGAGAGACAGAGAGAAAGGTCTTCCTTTGCCGTTGGTTCACCCTCCAATGGCCACTGCAGCCGGCGCACTGCAGCCAGCGCACCACGCTGATCCGAAGGCAGGAGCCAGGTACTTATCCTGGTCTCCCATGCTGGTGCAGGGCCCAAGCACTTGGGCCATCCTCCGCTGCACTCCCGGGCCACAGCAGAGAGCTGGCCTGGAAGAGGGGCAACCGGGACAGAATCCGGCGCCCCGACCGGGATTAGAACCCGGTGTGCCGGTGCCGCAAGGCGGAGGATTAGCCTATTGAGTCGCGGCGCCGGCCTCTATATCCATTTTCTTAATGATTCAATTCCAGTATACATATATCATGGTATCAAAATTGATAGTTGGTACCTTCATGAGAAAAAGCTTTATCAATTAGAGTTCAGTGCATGTATAGAGTTTCTTTTGCCTTCAGTGTTTCAGACTACATTCATTTCCAATATAACTTAGATCAGCATCTTTTCTTCTTCATCCCCTTTTGTTAAAATTTATTTGAGAGTTAGAGTTACAGACAGTGAGAAGGAGAGAGAGAGGTCCTCCATCCACTAGTTCACTCCCCAGATGGCCTCAATGGCCAGAGCTGGGCCGATCTGAAGTCAGGAGCCAGGAGCTTCTTCTGGGTCTCTCATGCAGGTGTAGGAACACAAATACTTGGGTCATCTTCTACCGCTTTCCGAGGCCACAGCAGAGAGCTGGATTGGAAGAAGAGCAGCTAAGACTACTGGCCCCTCATCCCCTTTCAATGAGGTTGTCTCTTAAATTTATAATAGTTATGTTGTTTTGTCACATTCCACATTTCCTTTGGGGTGCCTCAACCTCATAATTTTCCTGAAGGTTTCCTTTTCAAAACTTCTAATGACATATTTTTCTGTTATCAAGTTTTATTTTATAAGGTTCTTTTTGCTTTTTGAGTTTTGTAATATCTTTCATAATATTTCATATGTACTGGTTAGCTGTTAACTATGTATCTATGAAAATTCTTTCTCTGGGAATATTGACAGTATTCTGAAGTTTTCTTCTATCAGAACTATTTTCTCAAAGCTGTTCATTTGCTGTATTCTCACCTCTTGTGTTCCATATGAGAAGCTTCCCTCAGCTTTCTGTTAACCTTTGCTTGACTGGTCATGATTCAGTGGGAGAGAATCTAATTTCTGATTGGGATGTCTAAATTCTGTTGGAATGGTTCAGTCTTCTTAATGCTGAGTTGACTTGTAAGGAAATTCAGTTAGGCTAATTTTATATGAACCCCTAATATCATGTGAAGTCTTTTCACTTGGGCTGGTTGACTGGAGAAGTATCTTCCAATCTTATGTCTGTAGTGTCAGGTCTCTCTGCTAGCAATCTGATACCTGAGCAGTTATGTGCTGAATTCACACCTTTTCAGACCACTACTCCCATTGCAACTATGCATTGCTTCCTCAGAGTAGAGACTCTGATTTAACCTTTCTAGTCCTCTGCCTTGTGCATGAAGGGAAATAACCCAGTGACATGGGATAGCAATAAGCATGGAGTGGGATCCAACTGCTTTTTATTTTTTTTAAATATGGAACACTTCATGAATTTGCATGTCATCCTTGCATAAGGGCCATGCTAATCTTCTCTGTATTGTTCTGATTTTAGTATGTGTGTTGCTGAAGTGAGCACCCAATTGCTTTTTCAAAGCTTCCAAAAAAATCTTACCTTGTCTCTCCCTTTCCCTTACCCATCCCCATCCTCCTGCCCTTGCTCAGGAGGGATCTGATGTTGCCAGTTTCTAAGGTTCTTGGTGATTTTGGAGTGAAGATCAGTTCAGTTTTCAGCTTTTCTCATTGCTAGTTTAAGGTTTGGCCTTATGGGGGTCTGAAAGACCCTTTAGTTAACACTTGTATGTCTGCTTTCCTAACTTCTTAAATTTGGTTCTGTTGTATTATTGCTCTTTCTCTTTGGATATAGATCTTTAAAAATCCTCTTTCTATCTTTCTTTCTTTCTTTCTATCTATCTGTCTATCCATCCATTCATCCATCCATCTATCCGTTTACAGTGGTTTTATAAGGGGTTTTGGTAGGAGCAAAATTTGATTTCTGGTATCCAATTCACTGTTTTTCTTTTCTCGAATCCAGTTTAAAATTTTTTATTCCTTGGAAATAGTTTCAATGAATTTGAAAGGAAGAAAAAATATTTTATCTCCTCACATTACCTATCCTAATGCATTCTGAATTTTAATTATTCAATAAATATTAATTAAATTAAAATATATAGAAATTAGAGCCTCTCCATTGTGTTGTTTCTTAAAGTTGATTGAACACTAATAGTGTACCATAACCCAAATGGAACTGTCTCTCTAGTGACATGCTGCTTTCTCAACTAAATTAAGAACAAAAAGAATCTTTATGACTAGCCCTTTGTTTTCACTTCTAAACAAGCCTCCAGGGAACAGCAGTCAAACACATTTATTGTAGCTTGTAAATCAGCAGTATTAAAACTGGTATTAGTTCTTAACATTTGAAGTGTTGCTGGAGCAACGTTCAAATGCAATCTCGGTTTCTCCCAGTATGGTTATAAGTTAAAACTAGATGAAGATGTTAATAATTAACTTTAGCAATTGGGTACTCATTCACACAGCATTGATCCTCCATTCCAAATGCATTTGACTGAATCTTGACTGCATGGCTGAACATTCTAAGAAAGAAGCATGTACTTGGGTGTATAATGAGTTAAACTGGATTTTAAAATCACCACTTTCCTGTTATAAAATGTAGCTCCCTACATTATTTGAATATAATTTTTTTCATGTGGTATCATAATATTGGATGAAGCATTACTGCTTCTATTACTTCTTAAGTATAAGACTTTTATCTAATCCTCTTAGTTTCTGCAATGTTCTGAATCCCCATTTATGTAAGTCAGTTGGTATCACCCTGGCTTACTAATAATGGGACTAATAGCTATGTGTATTGAAGGGAAGATAAAATGAGTTAATGAGGAATGAATCCTGTTAGGGACCTTTAGTTTGTAAAGTATTATATAACTATAAAGGAACATTATTTTAAAAACTTTATGTTAATGCAAGATCTACTAGATTAAAAGATTTAGTGAGGACAGTGTACTTTTAGAAACCAGCAAGTGCAGGAATCCTGAAATCTCTGCCTATTTAGTAGTTGATGGAATTGAAAAAATGTACTGATAGATCTTTTGTGCATACTGGTTCTTCTTTTAGCTATTCAACTTTTGTTTTGCTTTCTAATAAAGAACAGGAAATAAGTGAGATTTTGACTCAATGTAGATTGTAATCTTTCAAAACTCCATGTATTTTTTTCCTTGGTTTGTCTCCTGATCCTGAAGTTAAATATAAGTTACAAGATCTCACTGCTCATTAACTGATATTATTTTGTAAGCAGTAAGTCAGATCAACTTTGGGAGATTATCTACATTTGTCTGGCTAAAGATTTAGAATGCTCAATGTTGCCAGCAGTTTTTGCTTATAGAATTCTTTATAATGTCAAGGATTCTCAGTCATCTTAGTCTAATGTCATTGATTGCTTTTCAGAAGAAAACTCAAGTGTGTACTTTAGTTGTCTGTTCTGGGCTTGGATTCCTAACCCTGAAAAAGTTTAACACATACTATCAATGACAGTCAATTGGAAGACAGACAGACACAAAGCCATTCTTGGGGATTCTTCCTTTATTTCTGAAATACCTTTTGATCACTGGAAAGAGGGTTGATCTTTTCTTTTCCTTTTTTTCCCCCCAGCATGTTCACAGTGATATATAAAAAAAAAAAAAAGAGAGACAGAACATTGCATCCAACTTTCTTTTTTTTCTTCTATATGAAAGGCTCCATTGTTCCACCTCCACAGTTTACCACAGGACCTGGAGAAAGAAACAAGAGATCAAGAAAAAGAGAGGAATGATTATTCATGTATTTTCAACGTGGTAAGTTCTGGCAAAATGGAAATACATTGATTTGTGAAAGTGGATTCCTGTTATATTTTAGCAGTCTAATGGAGTTTGCTTTATCATGAGTGCTTTTGGTACTTGCTGTACTTGATCTAATCAGGAATGAAGTCTTTAAACTGGCTTTACAAACCCATGACACAATAGTTAGTTGGCAACTGAGATTACACTTAATTAGCATAAGTGGAAAATTTACCATTTTTTTCATTCCCTTTCCTGCCCAAGTTTTTCCTACCATTTTATTTTTGGAACTTTTTCTCAGGAAAGTGTCTCTGCTTTCTTGTACTCCTTTCCTCACTTCCTAGTTCTGGGCAATAAAAAAGTGAATAAACACATGAAGTGAAGAGACATTGTGTACTTAATACACTCAGTTTGGGTTTGTGTTTTGATGTTTTGGTTGAGTTTTGTATTTTTTTAAAGATTTATTTTATTTGTCTGCATGACAGAGTTACAGAGAGACAGGGAGAGACAGAGAGAGAGAAGTCTTCCATCCACTGGTTCACTCCTCAAATGGCCTCAGTGGCCAGGGCTGGGCCAGACCGAACCAGGATCCAGGAGTATTTTCTAGGTCTCCCACATGGTGCAGGGGCCCAAGGACTTGGGTTATCCACTACTTCCTTCCCAGGCACATACCAGGGAGCTAGATTGGAAGTGGAGCAGCTGGGACTTGAACTGATTCCCACATGAGATATTAGCATCGCAGGTGGCAGCTTTACCTGCTATGCCACTACGCCAGCCAATAGATTTTATATTCTTAAAACCCATGCAGTCTGTGGTGCTGTCTGCTTCTATGTTGTTGTGTATTGATGAGATGCCCCAAATTGGGAATTTCAATGCATAATAATAACTACAAATCTTCAAAGGTCTTTTGTTAGGAGAAAAACAAGATATGACAGAGCCAGGGGTGGTGGTCCTTAGGTCCCTGTATCCATGTGGGAGACCCAGAAGAAGTCCTGGTTCCTGGCTTCAGATTGGCACAACTCTGGCTGTTGCAGCCATCTGAGGAGTGAACCAGCACATGGAAGACCTCTCTCTCTCTCTCGCTCTCGCTCTTGCTCTCTGCCTCTGCATCTCTCTCTCTGTTTAACTCTGCCTTTAGAATAAATACATACATACATACATACATACATACATAAAATCTTTTTTTAAAAAGGTTTGAAAAGAACTAGTAAGAGTATACTATCAAGAATGCACTGGCATAAATGTTTTAAAGTTGGTTTACACAATTCCTCAGTACAGCGTCAGACTGATCCTTGAGGGGGAAAATGAGGATGCTCAGTAAGAAGGGAGAAGTGATACCCTCCCACAGGGGACTTTAAACACCACCACTCCTTCTTAGAAGAAAGGATCATGTGATGCGGGGTTTAAAGATAGTTCATTACCACCAGAAGGTCTAGGGCCAAGTTGAAAGTGGAGTTAATAATGTACACATTTTTTTTATGCCAAATCCATTTTTTATAGATCTTTTCCTGGAAGAAAGAAAATAAACAAGAAAATAATCAATAGGAGAGCATGGAATCTGGTTATAATTCCACATTTCCACTTTGTGACTTTTATTACATTATATTTTGAGCCATTTTTATAAATATACATGAGTGTCTATCATAGAAGCATTATAACTTTTGAAAAGTAAATGTTATAATTTTAAATCAATTTCTATGGCACATTATATCATCTGAAAACTGAGTAGTTACCAATGACCTTAGGCATTTTGGCAAAATACCTGGAAAAGTCAACTTGCCAGTCTGTTTCTTGTTTATTTTTTCAGTCTTTCTAGTGTTTCAGTCACTTTTTTCTCTCTCAAGCTATATTCTAGCCCCTAACCAATGCCCAAATGTGAGTCCCTGTGAATGGACCATATATATAAGAAGAATACTGATTGTATGTACATTGCCATCTGAAAAAACTTTTTTTTTTTTGCTTGAAAACCTCAAAGTAAAACATCTCCTAGGAGAGAAGGCCTTATTTGCATTGCATTTGAAAACAGGACTAGAGAAAAGAGAAAATTGGGTCATTTAAGTAACTTTATCCAGTAGTGATAAGATGGAACACAGAACAAAGAGCATCAAATCTGTTCTACTCCCTAGTCTGAGTAACTTAGGGAGATATGCTAAGTCTCAAGGCCAGTGTTTTCTGTCTGTTGAATGATTGGATTATGTTACCTTTCTTTTTATTATTGTCCTTTCTAGTTCCTATGTTCTGCAATTCCAAATAAGATTTTATTACTTGATAGCCAATAATCTGTACCATAGATGCTCAATTAATCAGCATCCATCTAACTGACCCTCTAGAGTAACTCATGCTCTGCATTCTCTTTCTATGATGTTTGTTACAGAATACTAGCAATCTGAAGACTATTCTAGTTAATCCATGGGTTTCTGCCCCCATCAGTAGACTTTAATGCTAACTAAAAGTCAGCTGAGTTCGTTCCCAAATCTGTTTATGCTGGCTCTACTTGTCATTGAAATTATATAATTTAGTAAATAATGTGAAAGCCAGAGAAGTATGAATATAAATGGAGAGTTGTTTCTTCAAGAATTGAAACTAAATGTTTTGGGTAGAATCTATAAGAGGGAGATATGTAACACCGAAAGTTACAAACAAGGCATCTTTAAACAATTAAAAAATACTCATAAATATCTAGAGAAGTTCATTTTCATGCCTTTTCATGGCTGACTTAATTTTATTATTCACTTTAAAGAAACTGAAA